TCGGAATCCACTTTAATCCGGAGATCCCGGTCCGGGTACTGCTACTCCGCGTCCGTAACTTATCTTCAAGTTACAAGCACCTCCTGGGTAGTGCTAAGTGAGTGATGTCGATGCAACGCTTGCTTTAAGGCATCAGACAACTTCCTACGTGTTTGTCAGCTGCATTAGATAAAAAAAATTACAAATTATTTGTCAATTGTGTTGTGCAGCAGGAGTAGGAAAAAGGAAACAAAAAAATATTGTAATTTTTTTCTTTGATGTGGAAATAAGTATTAGTATAAAAATAATAAAAGGAGAAAAACAAATCGTTTATTGCAAAATAAAATCTGTATCATAACTCTGATTAAAATATTAAACATCTAATTATTTATTTAATCAATGATTTAAATAATTTATTATCACATAAAATAAACAGCAAAAAAGCCTTACAATATTGCATTTATCTTTAAAAAATTTTAAATATAAATTTAATTGATGGTTCAACTACTAATATAATTTATCTGATTATTATAATACATCCTAATTTTATTTTTCAAGGGATATTCTTAACTCATGGCTATTAAGTGCCTTTGATCAGAAGATATAAAACTTGGATTTGTTGGAATTCAGCATTTGTAAACGTATTATTTCATAATAATCATTGACATAAGAATGTGTCTTAACATTGGATGAAACAGTTTTCTTTAAAAAAAATATATTTTGTAACTTATAAGGAAATTCTTTTTATTTTCACGTGGAAGAGGCATTAAGATTATCGATTATAAAGGGAAAATTATACTTTTTTTTCCAATTTTTATTAAATAATTCAGCAATTGAATCACGCATCTCGAAAAGTGCTCATCTCGAAATATTTTAAAAGTCGTCTTCTATCTATCTATCTTTTTTTTTATACATACTTAGACGACCAATGTTTTACGAGCGTAAAGAATTCGTATATGTTTTTTATAAGGGGGTAAAAAAACCATGTCTTTCTGAAATGAAAAGATCGAATCAGACTTTTTTCAAAATATAATGATGACATCTAGCTTATGCAACCTCATCAATCTATTGATATCTGTCAAGGAGTGGGGTTCTTTCCTTGATTTTTTAATTAAATTGTTTGTCTTAATTTTATTTTGATTCTGAAAAGTTTTTTTTATAATAGAGAAACATCCAATTTTTCGGTTTCTCCATACACTTTTTTTTTTTTCAAATGTTATTAAGAAAGTATTCCACTAAAGCGTAAAAAATATTACGCTTAAAAGAAATACTTTCTTAGTATTATTTTAAATGAGAAAGTAAAAATAATATAAAGAAAGTATACGATTAAAACGTAATAAATAGTTCGCTTTAATAGCATACATTTTTAATATTATTTTAAAAATAATATTAAGAAGGTAATTAATTAAAGCGTAATGATTAAAATAATATTAAGAAAATATTCTATTAAAACGTAATAAATATTACGCTTTATGGCATACTTTCTTAATATTATTTTACATAAAATATTAAGAAACTATTTCATCAAAGCGTAGTAAATATTAGCTTTAATGTCATACTTTTTAGTATTATTTTAAATATAATTAAGAAAGTAATCAATTAAAGCATAATATTTAAAATAATATTTTTAAAAAATTTCTATTAAAACGTAATAAATATTACGCTTTATGGCATACTTTCTTAGTATTATTTTACATAAAATATTAAGAAAATATTCCATCAAAGCATAGTAAATATTACGCTTTAATGGCATATTTTTTTAGTATTATTTTAAATATAATTAAGAAAGTAATCAATTAAAGAATAATATTTAAAATAACATTAAGAAAATAATCCATTGAAGTGTAATAAATTACGCTTTAATGTTATACTTTCTTAATATTATTTTAAATATAATATTAAGAACTAAATTAATATTATTTTAAATATAATATTAAGAAATAAATTAATATTATTTTAAATATAATATTAAGAAACTAAAAATAATAGTAAGAAAGTAGTAATAGATAAAAGCAATATTTAAAATAATACTAAGAGTAATATTTAAAATAATATTAAGAAAATATTCCATTAAAGCCTAATAAATATTACTCTTAAATGGCATACTTTCTTAGTATTATTTTAAATATAATATTAAAAACATAAGCGATTAAAGCGCAATATTTAAAATAATATTGAGAAAATATTCCACTAAAGCGTAATATTTACAATAATTAAAAGAAAATATTCCATTAAAGTGTAATTAAAATATTTGTGAACATGCTGATTTGATAGTGTTAAAACATCAACAAAATAACATCACAACAGAGGGATTTATTGAATAAAATGTTGCCATTAAAATATCCAAAACTTAATATCGAATCAATACTTATTACGCTTTATTGTATTTATTATTGATATGGTTATATTATTAAATTTATTACGTTTGTTACCTTATTATAAATTCACTTCCTGATTGATAAGACTTATTAAAATAAACCGAGACACTTATTCAATAAGCATCCACAATAGCCACAGCAAAGCAACGCGACACCAAAAAATATTTCATAATCTAAACCTGACAATGAAAGGCCAGAATAATTAATTGGAGTGTTAATTAATTTAAATGAACTTTCTTTCGTGATTATTTCTAATTAAGTTCAGGGACGGTCATTAAAGGTGTTTCTAATGAGCGTCGAATAACCATTAAAATATCAAATCCTCATTAGCGAATCGAATACTCCTCTTTAATGCGTTTACACCATTAATTATTTTTAAAGTGTCCTCACTCTGGTTTTATGTGACGCAGACATCAACAAATCATTACGCTACAAGCGATAGAGGGGACCGTCCACTAAGTGCATTGCGCGCAATAAAGAATCATAATCAGAAGAAATCGTTTAATGGTTTATTGAATCTGGAAATAGATCCAAAGAAATATATTCAGATAAAACAACAATGCTCAAACTGTGCAGCATGAATGTAGTTGAAAATGTAAAAGTTTCAAATATATTTAAAAAGTTAATAAAATTATGTACAGTACAAGCTCAAAAATAGATTTTAAATGTAATTTCTTGATAGGCATGTTTTAGATTACATCATTTATTTGAAGAATTGCGACGACAAACAATTGAATGAATAGATGAGACTTAAGTAGAAAAATGGTTGAAAGTTGATTCTGTTCATCATATGTTGTGGAATACATTTAATTAAATACAGAATTAACTTCAAAAAAGCACATCCGAGAAAGACATACGTATACATATGCCATATATGTCCGCTATATCCAGATAACTGCAAGGAAAAATACAACTATTAAACCAATTTTTTTGAAATAATCTTTCATAGCAGCCATTGGAAGGCTGGTAACTAAATCAAATCTGCACAAAACCTTTACAATTACTACCGTGCCCAAAAAGAAAGACCAAATATTATTATTTTTTTTTAAACTCTATATTTATTCTTCCAAATTTATTTCATCGCCTTCAGAGTAATCCCCTCCGGACACAATATACTTTTGCCAACTATTTTTTCCAATCCTCATTGCATGCTAAAATGTCATCGGCCTTTAAAGTGTGCGGCGATTCACATTGAATCTCTTCAGTCGACTCAAAGCGGGGTCCCCAGATTGGTCTTTTTGAGTTTAGAGAACAACCAAAATTCGCACGGTGTGAATACGGTGGTTGTGGAACGATATGGGTTTCATTTTTGGCAAAAATGCCACGAAGAATCAATGCAGTGTGAGCTGGAGCATTCAGTGTTTTCGGTACCAATCGAGATTTGACGCTTTTGAGGCCCAAAATGGAACTGACAGATCCTTTTGAAATTCTACCATCATCAGCAAAAAGTCTCTAATTGCAAACCGACGGTTTGCAAGCACCAAATACTTTGTCCAAATCTTTAATCTTTTAATTGTCCAAATAGTCCAAATCTTTAATTGCTTGGACGTGAGCTTCGTCGGTTGAGGTTGATGGTCGACCAGAGGGCTCTTCATCTTCAAAACGTTCTCTTCCTTCTTTGAACTGTTTATGCCACTTCTAAACATTTCTTTCCGATATAGGAATGCTCACCAAATGCCTTCTTCAACATTTTATACGTTTCCGCAAACAAAATGTAATGCAAGTTCTTTGCTCAGTTAATTCAGACATTTCAAAAATCGCCGAAATCAGTTTTAGCGTCTTACAAAACCAAGCGTAACTCAAACACTAATAAATATTTTGACGTCAAATTCCACACACAGATGTCGGGACAGTGCCAGCAACCTAAAAAAGAAAAAAAAATTGCAAGCCCCGGAATTTTTAAATTGAAAATTTGTCTTACTTTTTGGATACAGTATATATTACAGCTCTATAACCTGAAATAAAGTTTATACATTAGTTTTCAAATATAAAAGAAAAATTGAAAATATTTGGATTACACGAATAAAAATAAATCTTCAATACATCAATTATTGGGAGTTTAATTTTATACGTCCGTTGTAACGTTAACTGGACATTGAACATTAAATAAAAATAAAATCAATAAATAATTAGAACATTAACTGATTCCCCATGCTACAGAAGTTTATTTCGAGCCACACCTACGTTAAGTGGAGTGCAAGACAATGGAGGTCTGCACTTTTATTGATGAAGACAGATTTTGTTTGCAAATGGCTCAAGATATTAAGACTTCTTCCTCAAGGGGCCAAGAACTCATTAATATCCCAGTCACTAAAAAAGATAAATTTGGTGGGGGCAGCGTATGTGTCTTGAAAGTATCTTGATAAAATTTATTCATCTGCATATCTTTCCAACAGGCATCATTACTATTCAGTTATATGATTTCATTATTCTTCCTTATGCAAATGCAGTAAGTGCCACCTCCATTCCACAAGATGTTTAATGAGCTTATAAACTGGTTACAAATGTTTTGAACTGAGAATATTTGGGAACATTTAGAAATATTATTGGTATTTGAACTGTCATGATAAATGGGCTTTTCTCCACTGAGTTAATAAATATCATATTGAACATAAACGTCGTTTGCCAACGGCCGTAATTATGCTGAAATATACCGGTTCTCGTTAGATCACCGAATAAGCATCATTGGGCGCGGTCAGTACTTGGGTGGGTGACCACCTGGGAAAACGTGCCGTTGGCAAATTTGGGACCGCATGTCTGGCGCTCTGGCGCTCGGTGCCACAGGTTTCGGGTTAACCCGGCGGTGCCATGGATGTTGTAGTGGTTCGAATCCACTTTAAGCCGTAGGTCCCGGTCTCTATGACTGTAAGAGCGTCACGGAGCAAAAGTCAGGCTTCTACCTACGGGTGCTCCATCACAACAGAAGCTGCTTCCTTCCCCTTCAATCATGAGTACGTATGGGCTCGTGGGCTTGGCCAGCCTGGGATAAGAAACAACAACAACAAACGCCGTTTTCGTGACTCTATTACTTGTTGACGCTGATCTCATATAGAACTCAGATACTATGTATTTAGGTAAGACCGAAAATAAGCCTTTTTTGTTACCTAAACTGTATAACACTTTTAGCAAATATTATTTTTTACATTGATTATATTAATTAAATTTTCATTAAATAAATTTCACATTCATATTTTTTCTATTTTCCTTAATTTTTGAAAACTGATACACATAGCAAATATAATTATAATTAAAATTAAAGCTATACAAATTAGTTTCATGGCACAACAATTTTCATCAATTTAAATGAAACAATTTCAATATTAACTATTTAAAAATTCTAATTAAAAATTAAGTTTAATTACTAAAATGCAAATTACTGTCATAATATAACGTATGAAAAAAGGGGCGAAATAGTAAATAAATACATATATTCACTATGAGTCTGCTGCTACGTACCTGCTACGTACCATGCTGAATATACCGGTTCTCGTTAGCTCACCGAAGTCAAGCATTATTGGGCGCGGTCAGTACTTGGGTGGGTGACCACCTGGGAACACCGCGTGCCGTTGGCACAGTTGGGACCTGAATGGCCGAGTGTCTAGCGCTCTGGCGCTCGGTGCCACAGGTTTCGGGTTCGAACCCGGCGGTGCCATGGATGTTTGTAGTGGTTCGGAATCCACTTTAAGCCGTAGGTCCCGGTCTCCTATGACTGTAAGAGCGTCACGGAGCAAAAGTCAGGCTTCTACCTACGGGTGCTCCATCACAACAGAAGCTGCTTCCTTCCCCTTCAATCATGAGCACGTATGGGCTCGTGGGCTTGGCCAGCCAAGTGGGATAAGAAACAACAACATGAGTCTAAAAATATTGTTTTCTTATATATTTATTATAAGAAAATTAAATTAATTATCTTTTTAATTTTTATTGTTATTATAATTATAATTTTGAATAGCATTCAAAATGGGAAAAAATTAAGTCTTCAAGTAATATTTTAACTTCAATTAACAATTAATATTTATTTTTCATATACGTAAGAAATAACCCTACTACATTTGGCAATATATCGCTTGCGCCCAGCTAATGGAAGAGTAGTATTTTGCGAGATTAACGCGGATCCGTATATAAGCCGACATAATTTAGCTTTAAAAATGTTCCAAATATTCTCGGCTTTTACGTATATAAGGTACATATTTTAAGACTTAAGAAGTATAGTGGTAGAGTGGCTAGCTCTCTGGCGTTCGGTACCACAGATTTCTGGTTCGAATCCCGGGGGTTCCAAGAATGTTTGTAGTGGATGTGCGAATAAAAAAAAAATGACAGTAGAGTGATAAACAAAATCTCATCTAAAAGCATCCACTCTGTTGTTCTAGTTAACTTAACTTAAGATCAATCACTTCATCAAAACCAATCAATTCTGAAACCATGATCTTTTACAAATTGTTTCACATTTCTGTCATCTCATATAAGGACAAAGCGAGAAAAAGTAAGTCGATGAATAGTGTTATGATATATACGTCACAACTTTTCTGAATACAAGTCCTTTCAACATACATGAATATTTTAACGAATATCATGATCCAAGTTGTGCTTGTATCACAGTGAGTTTTCTCTCCCAGCAACATCTGTGATACAAAAATCACCGGATATCCCATTTGGATTTCTCGTTAATAACCAATTGTTTTAAATGGTGCATTTACTGTATTCTTTTAAGAAAACATACGATTTTATTTTATTTTATTTTTATGATTGTAGAAATAATTATAGCAAGAAAACTAATTTATGTAATTAAAAGGTTACAAATAGAATGCATTTAAAGGAAACGCACAGTAAGACGAAGAACTGGAGAATTTCTATACCCTTATTGAATGTTAGAAAAAAAATCCCATTCAGTTTTTAAATGCATTAAAAATGATAATTTGTATCTCAATTTAAAATTAATACTGCTCAATTTAAAACTAATTTAATTAGCTCAAAAATTGTCTACTTTGATTTGTGTTTGACTAATATTATTAATTGGTATACATTTTAAATAATAAAATAAATTATATTTAATTGAATACAATTTGATCGATTATTTTTTTTTCATTATTTAGCATTATTTGTTTTTTATTTTATCGATCTATTTTAATTTGTTTTTAAAAAGTTTCAGTTTGAATTACTTATTTACTTTTTTCTTATACTGAAATTGTGGCATCAAATCGTTCAATGTCATATTTGTTTCTAAATTAAATTTATTTTTTATGAAGAATCACGAATTAAAATATAGAATCAAGAATGCAAATTTATATAGAATGACAAAAATAAATTTATTGTCTCTCAATGCCTTTGAAGAGCTAGTTTTTAACTTTCTTTTATTTTTATTACTGAATTTTTACAAATTTTAAAAGAATTTCTGGTGAAAGTGAAAAAAAATAGTAAAAGTGAACAAAAATAGTGAAAGTGAATTTTTATAATTATTTTTTTTAATTTTATTTGTATAAAAACGAAAATAATTATTAACTAACCTATTATAAATAAGAATTTCCCATTTTGAAACGGTTACAGTTTAATTTGAAATAAAAACTTAAACTGAATCACAACTACTGGATCTATTATTTCCCTTTGCGAATATTGCGGAATAACCACAAAAATATTAATCACCATAATAAAGAAAAACCATTAGTATTCAGTATTAATACTACTAATTAATGATATAAATAATTATATTCCATTTCTTTTTTTTACTCATAAAGTTTGATTAATTAATTTTATTATGATAATTAAAATATTTTGTGGACGGAGATCAACTAATTAATTTAAAACAGGAATATTTTTCTAGAAATATTTCAAAACCTGTCAATATCAATCGGACATTGGAATGCCAATTAGCATTTAATACCCAGCGAAAAAAATGAAAATATCGCCAAGTGAAATACTTCCCACCGCCTAACTAAACTTGGCAACCCTACCAGAAGCCGACGATCAAAACTACTATCGTTCACTTATTTATCATTTTTTTTACCCTGCCACCAACCTCACTTGCCAAGATGCAATCCTTGCGGCATGAACGAGTCTTTCAGTATCCGGCCTAGAAATAGGTGAGTGCTACTTCACTCTCGCTCCTGATGCGGTGCCGGACTCTACCGAACAGTTGCCGCGAATTTTGCCGGATTTTATGGCCGGAACATTGATTCCTCTTTCTGTATGGAATGGTGCCGGATGTTTGCCCTGAAGATCTTTGTGTTCCTTGTGCTCCTGGGATGCGGTCTGTCCTTTGTGATGCCGGACATCGAGCAGGACAGTATGAAACTAGAACTTGTGTCCAAGCGGGATCAGAAGAGATTAGATTTATTGAAATCGCTGGAGGAATTTTCTTCCGAAGTTCATCAAGTTATACCTACTGTAAAGGTAGGGTATCCCATATTCAAATTTGTGTTACAATTTATGCATGTAAAAAAATTATGATAAAAGTATAAAAAATTTCAATAATATATTATTTTAAAAAATTAAGAAATAATATATTCCATATCATATATATTATTTAAAAGAATATAAAAAATTGCAATAATATATTCCATATCATATATATTATAAAAGAATATAAAAATTGCAGTAATATATTATTAAAAAAATTAAGGAATAATATATTTCATATCACATAAATTATTTTATTTCATCTACAAAAAAATTGTAATATATCCTTCACATTATATTCACACAATTATATAGATATAAATTATAACTTTATACAGTTGAATCTAATTTCCTTACAAAAGTTTGTCATACAATTTCTAATAGAAAAAAATTATTTTCACAAAATAAATAATGAATAAGATAATTATCTTTATATAAAGATAATTATCTTTATATAAAGATAATTATCTTTATTTAATTTTTGAAATTTTCAGTGAATATTAACTTAAAAATAAAATTAGTTATCAAATCAAATTTGTAATAACTTTTTCAGTATTTATTCATAACATTTAAGAGTACTTTGAATATAATATCATAACTTAAAATAAATAACGGATAAAAATTTTAATTTTGCATAAAATAAATTTTTGTTATTAAAATATTATCAATGTTTAACATTTTATAAAATTTTTATCGTTGTTAAAAAATTTCATATTTTTTTTTTGTCTTTTAATTGGATTAAATAATTTTTCATTATTTCTCAGTTATATATCGAAAGTCAGATAAATAATTTTAATAATTATTTACAAGTGTATTTTAATTAAATAAGGAATATTGCATTATATTGGTCACCAACTAATTGATGGAATTTTTATTTATTGAGAAATAAAATAGAAATAAATATTCAAATATAACAGCTTAAAATGTCAATAAAAAAATACCAGAAAAAAATTAATTAAATGAAAATTAGAAACAAAATTAATTGGAATCACCAATATCAAAGTTTATCTCTTCCAGTTAATGAATACAAGACATATATGAGTTATCAGTAGTATCAGTGCTGTAGTCTAAATTAGGAATTTGTCAGCGATTTCAGTCATTATCTAAGTCAAATCAGAATTGTTAAAAAGCCTTAGAGATTTTCTTGCCACAGATTGGTGATTTTATCACCTATGCTAAAAAAGGAATTTAATCTTTAATCTTTTAAAAATATATTATCTTGTTAAAATATTATTTTTTTAAAAATTAATCTTTTTAAAAAATATTTAAAAGTAAGTTTTTTTATAATTAAATAACAATCAATTATCAATTAAACACGATTTTAAAAAATGAGCTCTCTAACAAGAG